ACATCCAGCATCTATAAGGAACTCAAATGAGCAAGAAAAAAGCAACTTACCCCATTAAAAAGTGGGCAAAAGACATGAATAGACATTATCCAAAAGAAGACATACAAATGGCCAAGAAACTTATGAAAAAGTGCTGATCCTCATTAATCATCAGAGAAATTAATTAAAACCACAGTGAGATGCCACCCTACCCCTGTCAGAATTGTCCTTATTAAAAAGTTAAAAAAAAAATAGATGGGCCAGTTGTGGTGGCTCACAACTGTATCCTAGCACTTTGGGAGGCTGAGGAGAAAGGATTTCTTGAGGCCAGGCATTCCAATATGTGGTGCCATGTGGCTATACCCCCCCCACCTACTTGAAAATTGAGGCAGGAAGATCACTTAAGCCCAGTAGCTAAAGATTGCAGTGTGCTGTGACCACTCCACTGCACTCTCACCTGTCTCAAAAAAAAAAAAAATTTCATGTTGACATGGATGCAGTGAAAAGGGAAGGCTTATCCACTGCTGATGGGAATGTCAATTAGTACAACCTCTATGTAATTGTATGGAGATTCCTCAAATAGCTAAAAGTAGACCCACCATTTGACCTACCATTCAACAATCCTTTTTTTTTTTTTTTTGAGACAGTCTCATTTTGTGGCCCTTGTTGGAGTGCGGTGGCATCATACCTCATAGCAACCCCAAACTGTTGGGCTTGAGAAATACTCTTGCCTCAGCCTCCCAAGTAGCTGTGACTACAGGTGACCTCCATATCACCCAGCTAATTGAGACAGGGTCTCCCTCTTGCTTCGGCTGGTGTCTAACATGTCAGCTCAGGCAACCCACCTGCCTCTGCCTCCCAGAGTGCTAGCATTACAGGCATGAGCCACCACACCTGGCCTGATTCAACAATCTTACTACTAGATTTCTACCCAAAAGAAAATTAGTCATTTATATGAAAAAGACACTTGCTCTTGGATGTTTATCACAGCATAATTCACATTGCAAACATATGCAACAATGTAATTACCCATCAACTGACTAGTGGATGAAGAAAATATGGTATATACACTCATACCACACAACACACATAAGCACACATACTATGGAATACTACTCAGTCATAAAAAAGAATGAAACAATGTCTTGTCTTTTCCAGCAACTTAGATGGAACTGGAGGACGTTATCCTAAGTATTTCAGAAATGGAAAAATATACCACATGCTCTTACTAAGTGATGGGTTTACATGGTCATACAGAATTGCATAATGGACATTGGAAGACTAAGAACAGGGAAGGGTGAAAGGAGGGTGATGGATGACAAATTACCTATTGCGTATAATGTACATGATTTGGGTTATGGCTAAAAGCCCCAACTTTACCACTACAATTCATCCATGTAACAAAAAAAAAATCACCTGTACCCTCTAAATCTACTGAATTTTTTTTTTGAGACAGAGTCTCAAGCTGTTACCCTTGGTAAAGTACCATGGCATCACAGCACACAGCAACTTCAAATCTTGGGCTTAAGCAATTCCCCTGCCTCAGTCTCCCAAGCAGCTGGGATCACAGGTACCTGCCACAATGCCTGGCTATTTTTTGGTTGTAGTTGTCATTGTTGTTTGGCAGGCCTGGGCTGGATTCGAACCAGCCAGCTCTGGTGTATATGGCTGGGACCCTAGCTGCTGAGCTACAGGTACTGAGACAAGTTTTTCCACTTTTAGTAGAAATGGGGTCTCACTCTTATTCAGTATGGTCTTGAACTTCTGAGTGCAGGTGGTACACCTGCCTTGGCATCCCAGAATGTAGGTTTACAGGTGTGAACCACCCACCTGGCCTATTGAAATTTTTTAAGAAGATAACTTGGAGAAAATAGAGAGCCTGCAGAGCAGAAAACCTGAGGAGGAAGTCCCTATTATTTGTGTCATTGGATGAAACAAAGAAGTTATTGCATCTAAGAAAAAAGTCCAAAAAGAAAGGTCTTTAAAAATATTAACCTTATAGAAAGAATAAAAATGTCATTAGAAGGGCTTCAAGATAAAGCTAACAAAATGTCCTAGGAAATATTGCAAGAATATTTAAAAATGGAAAACAGGAGAGGGAAAAAAAAATAAGTTCGAGAACCAAACCAGAAGCCCAACATCTGAATTATAAGAATTCTAAGAAAGGAATTGGAGGGAGGAGATTATCAATTAAAAAACTTAAGGAACAGGCAGTGCCTGTGGCTCAGTGAGTACAGTGCTAGCCCAATATACCAAGGGTGGTGGGTTCGAACCCAGCCCCAGCCAAACTGCAACAAAAAAATGGCCCGGCACTGTGGCAGGCACCTGTAGTCCCAGCTACTTGGGAGGCTGAGGCAAGAGAATCACCTAAGCCCAAGAGATGGAGATTGCTGTGAGCTATGACGCCATAGCACTCTACCAAGGGTGACAAAATGAGACTGTCTCTTAAAAAAAAAAAAAAAAAACTTAAGGAAATTTCTAAGACCTGAAAGAAAGCAGTTTCCTAAGTGAAATAGCTCATCAGTTATCCTGTACAATGGCTGGAAAACAAGCCCAAACCAAAAAAGTCACTGTTTAATTTTAAAATACTGGGAGCAAGGACAACATACAGCAACAAGAAATAAAAATACAGGTCACATATAGAGGACAAGAAATACAATAGTTCATTGTCAAAACACTTAAAAATCATAAAGGAACATTATTTCTTGCCTAAGACTCTATACTCAAACTACTAATCAAGTTTGAGGGTAGAATAATGATAGTTTAGTACATTTATGGCTGCAAAAAAAATTAACTTAAACACCCTTCTGTGAGAACTTCTGAAAGATATTGAGAATAATTTGAGAGAAGAAGACAGACAGCATAGATAATAGAAAATCCAAAATGGAATAGAAGTGAAACAAATCTCCAGATTCTATTGATTCTATTGAATCTATTGATTACCAATAATCTCTCTGACATTGAACATCTTTTCGATCAAATGAAACAACGGAGGGATTTGATTTAGTAAAGCCATACTGAAACTGAAAAAGACTGAAAAAGAGGAAAATATAAAATCCCATAAATAATAAAAGGCAAATAAAATTTCAAGAATGACAGCAAAAGGAAGTTCCAGGATCAGAGCTGAGCAGTAGGTGTGGAGAGCAATAACCGAATGTAAATAAAAATTGAAGTCTAAGGAGAAATGGAAATAACTATATGGAAAATCATACTGAGGGAAGAATAAGTCATAGAAATAAAGAAAACTAACTTTAAAAGTAAGGCAAATATTAACATCAAAAAAATTGAAAAATGTAATTAGTACAAAACAATGCTTCTAATATAAGTGAAAGAAGGTATGAAGGGGCTAAAATTTAAAACAACATAATGAAGATTTAATTGACAATGACTAAAATTAATTAATCAAAATGCTTCAGAAAACAGATTACTGGCAGAAGAGGTAAATAAAAGAATTGAAAAATGGCTATCTCTTTGGAGGAGAACTAAAAAAAAATTTAAAAGGAAGGGGCAGAAAAGCAATGTAATTTATTATAAACCTCTTAGTGCTATTTAATTTAGAACCAAGGTCATGTATTATTTTGAAAAATGTTCAAAATATCAGCAAAATATAGCCCTTGCAAAGTCTCATCAAGGATAAAAAGGAGAGAAAATACTAAACATTACTATTAACAATAGGGATACAACTGAAGGTAAATAATACAGTGAAAACATATGTGAAGAAATTTGCAAACTAGACAAAATTAATGTTTTTTAAAATAAAATACAAATTACTTAAAAAGAAAACAAAACCTATGTAGATTAATAACCAATGGTAAAATAGAAAAGATAGTCATTAATCTACTAAAAGTGAAACCACTAACTCTGACCAGCTCAAGAGGCAAGTTGCAATTAGGCATGTAGAAACAGATAATAACATAATTATAAAACTATTCTGTTGTATAAAAATAGAGAGGTAAAGCTTCTTAACACATATTATGATACCAGTATGATAGTTTAATGCCATAACCATAAAAGTTAAACCCACCCAGTCCCCAACACACGTACACACAGAATAATATATATAACATGGGCTAGAAAAATTCTAAAACCATGTTGAAACATCAAATCCACCTGTGCATTAAAATAATACATTGTAGCTAAATGTCATTTATATCAAGAACTCAAAAATTTTTAAACTAAAGAATAATTTCAACAGATATGTCAAATATGACGGGATAAAGAAAAAGAATACTTTTTTTGATTCAAAAGAGTGTTTACCCCAAATTGAGATCATTTAACTATTAGATGAAATTAATAGATGAAATACTAAAAGTAACTTCTATAAACAGAAGATTGACCTACTTGCTACTACTAATTTTACGAGTACTCATTGAATATTGAAGATTCTAGCTGATGAAGTTACAGGTAAATAATAACTTGTGTATTATTTTTAGAGCAGCTGAAGAGTGAAGTTGAGAGACAGATGAAGGCAGAAAGTGTTCCAGAACATATTATGGGTAAAAAGTGAAGATCTCAAAAATAGAGGGACTGATTAATCCACCAGAAACTGAAAAATAGGCCAGTTATTTTGGCATATAAACATCATTATTGTTAAGTAGTTCATAAACAAATAAAAGGTCTTTAACCAATATTTGTTGTATTTTGGGGGGCTTCGTTTTCTTATATATTATTTACTATCAATTTTTTAAATGGGAGAAAATTTTCTTTGAATTTTGGTGGGGAGCCAGAGTTTAATTTCATGCCCCTAGTTTTAAGGGGGAGAAAAGATGTATTTTTTCTATAAATCCAGATTATCAGAGGTGGAAACGACATGAGCTACTACTTACTAGAATTATGGCGGCCATCTGAAGACAAAAAGTTGGAATGAACTAGCAAAGACTCTGGGGAAAAAAATCATTCATTGCAGAACTCTTTAATACGCCATCTTTCTGTTCTGTTCTTGAGAACGGGTATAACATCCACAAAACGCAAGGTGGCGCTGCAGGCTAAAAAGAGGGGGTAAAAAACGCCCGCACAAAAGATATTACAGATTTCAGAGTAAACAGGAAATCTGACCAGAAATATAGAGGAAAGGAAATCGTGGTGATTGGAATCGGAGTAAAATGAAGACCCTTCCCTACAAGCATTGCTACTATTATCCAGCTTACTAATAAGGATTCAGTTCTGCCATTCTGGAGAGCTGCTGGAGGCTGAGTGGAAGTGATTCTAAGACTGATCAAAGGACGCTTGGAGGCCAGAATGGAGAGCGCTATGCGGAAAAGGCAAGTTCTCTATTTGTGTGTATTTCTGGGAATGTCTTGGGCTAGCGCGGAACAGCTCCGGTATTTTGTGGCTGAGGAAAGTGAGAGAGGCACTTTTCTCGCCAACCTAGCAAATGACCTAGGGTTGGGGATGGGGGAACTTTCAGCCCGGGGATCTAGAATTGTTTCAGACCAGAACATAGGATTTTTACTGCTCAATCTGCTTACTGGTGATTTACTTCTAAATGAGAAATTGGACCGAGAGGAACTGTGCGGCCCCACAGAGCCCTGTGTGCTGCCTTTCCAGTTGTTACTGGAAAAGCCTTTTCAGATTTTCCGTGCTGAACTATGGATCAGAGACATCAATGATCATTCACCAGTGTTTCTAGTTACAGAGATTCCCTTGAAAATATTAGAAAGTACCACTCCAGGGACGGCATTTCTCCTAGAAAGTGCACAGGATTTGGATGTTGGAAACAACAGCTTGAGTAACTATACCATCAGCCCTAATGCCTATTTCCATATTAATGTCCATGTTAGCGAGGAGGGGAATATCTATCCGGAATTGGTATTGGATCAAGTGCTGGATCGTGAGGAGATACCTGAGCTAAGTTTAACTCTCACAGCCTGGGATGGTGGCTCTCCACGCAGATCTGGGACAGCCCTGGTGCGCATCCTGGTCGTAGACATAAATGACAATGCCCCTGAATTTGTGCAGTCTCTCTACAAGGTGCAGATGCCTGAGAACAGCCCTATTGGCTCCATGGTTGTCTCTGTGTCCGCTAGAGATTTAGATACCGGAAGTAATGGGGAAATAGTCTACGCATTTTTCTATGCCACTGAAAGAATTCTCAAAACTTTTCAAATCAACTCAACATCTGGCAATCTTCATCTTAAAGCTGAATTGAACTATGAGTCAATTCAAACGTATACATTAACTGTGCAAGCTAAAGATGGAGGAGGGCTTTCTGGAAAATGTACTGTGGTGGTTGAAGTAACAGACATAAATGATAATTCACCGGAGCTGCTCATGTCATCATTTACTAGTCCAATTGCAGAAAACTCACCTGAGACAGTTGTTGCTGTTTTTAGGATTAGAGACAAAGATTCAGGAAACAATGGAAAAATGGTGTGCTTCATCCAGGACGATCTCCCCTTCCTCCTGAAACCATCTGTAGAGAATTTCTATACACTAATAACAGAGAAACCTTTAGATCGAGAGAGAAACACAGAGTACAACATTACCATCACCGTTACCGACTTGGGGACACCCAGGCTAAAAACTGAACACAGTATAACCCTCCTAGTCTCTGACATCAATGACAACGCCCCCACTTTCACCCAAACCTCCTACACCCTGTTCGTCCGCGAAAACAACAGCCCCGCCCTGCACATAGGCACCATCAGCGCCACAGACAGAGACTCAGGCACCAACGCCCAGGTCGCCTACTCCCTGCTGCCACCTCAGGACCCACACCTGCCCCTCGCCTCCCTGGTCTC